CTTATAACATCCTCACAATCTCCAACCTGTCCAGCTCATTATTATCATCTGTGTGCATCATCCATTTCATTGAGAGCAGGTTTGTCAAATCTGTGCTCACCTCTCCTCCCTGGGAATTCAGGTGGCCTAGTGGTAAAAGGTTGTGCTTCCAGTTTCCAAAAAAAGCACATGGTTCCAATCCACCAGTTGTTTTATGGAAGAAAGATGGGCTATCTCCTCCAGCACAATTTATAGCTTCTGAAAACATTCTAGAGGGTGTGAGCCAGTTCGGATTCAATGGCACAGAACAATAACAAACGCCATCACCACCATTTCTACTATCAAATTGCTTTTATCAGCCAATTTAGGAATATTCATCGTGGTTTTGACCATGAAAACAGCACAGCGTGTTCTCACAGCTCCAGCAGGTTTCTAAGGTATAAATAGCCCTGAGAAGTTGCCCATTCTTCTTTCATTGCAGAGCTGCTGGTGGATTTTTAACCACCAGAAAAACATCTTGAGTTAGACGTACAAGTTCCTGTGGACTATTACCACAAGAGCTCTCTAATCACATTGTTCAAGTTCATCTGTTTTTTTCAGACATTAAAAAAAAATATCATCCAGGAAATTTATAGCTCCCTTTAGTGAATATTCCTGCTTCCTGTGTGGAAATGGGGCATCCTCTCTCTGCCCTTGACTTATGAACGGAGCTCTCGTTGACAAGAGGTAAGGAGCTGCGCTGCCAGCCCAAAGGCAAGTGGTTCAAGTCAACCAGCCACTTTGAGCAAGAAAGATGGATAATCTCCTCCCATGTGATTTATAGCATCTGGAAACCTGTTCCAGGGTCAGTTATGATTGGTTCCAAAGTGAAGGAACACAACAAGACCTTGATTTACTTACTCTCCCTCATAGCATCTACCTTACAACACATGCATGTTAGCTTATCCTGATTATTGTCTGTAGGTCCTTGTTAGAATGTAAGCTCAATAAGGCTAAGGTTGGTTGATCTGGTTTTTGGTTGTGCGGTGTGTTTTTTGTTTGTTTTCGCTTTACTATTGCTCTTTCCAAATTTTTATTTTCTTTGCTTTGGAGAAGAAATCTTTAAAATATTGTAAAATATCGAGCTCAGCCTAGGAACTCAGGAAAAATAAACAATGTTATGTGCCAGCATGTCAGACTAGACTCATTTCTGATACTCTGATACTCCATCAGGTTTCCAGAAGCTAGATCACAGAAGAACACTGTCCATCTTTTTTCTGTGGAGCAGTGGGTGGATTCAAATCTCCTGCCTTTCAGTTGGTAGCTCAACTTCTTACTCACTAAGTCACCAGAGCTCTTTAAATAAACAATAGTGTGTAAGTAAAGAACCCCTCACCACTGTAAAATTCAATGTATGGGTTAAAATTAGAATAAAAATCATATAAAAGGTGGTAAACAAAAAGGGCTATGTAACTACAGGAAAGTAACAAACAATATTCTCATCAGCAATCCTAAAGTTAAGATACCTAACTCACAGATAGAGATTGAAATTTTATATGAATATATTACCAAGAATAATGTATGCTTTCTGAGATTTGCAACCCATACTGGCCAGTTTAAGAAGGCAATATGTACTCGTTTGATTTGCAAGAGAGTAAATACTCAGAAATAATGGACACAATTCATTTAAACATAACAGTTATCATATTTGAATTTATTTCCTTATAAATTGGCTTATTACATGCTAAGTTAGTACAATTTTATAAAAAGAGATAATAATTAGATGCATTATAAAATGTATATAAAAAATTAAGTGCAGAGTATTCTACAGAATGATTTTTAACTAAAAGTCTTTGGATTGTGAAAGCACCACTTAACTGCCTCTTTGAACTCTAGCAAAACACTCACTGCCAAAGCCTCTTCTATGAAGAATTAGATCATCATCCATGGAACACTTCTGCATGTGTACTTCTAAGTCCAACAACTTACTAATATATTTTGTTAACCACTAAATAAATGTCAAATACTATCCATACAGGATATTAACACATTAATGTTTTCATTAAAAAGAAAGATCTCTTTCTTCATTACATTACGTATTTTTAGAACAGAGATCTGTCAAATAAATTACGGCAAAGTAGTTCAAGCTTGATCTCCTACCCCTTGAATCATATAATGAGGGCAAATAACCTTTAAAATGAAAGACAAATGGTGAAATTTAAGGGCATTTCATTTGCATAAATGTAATGTTAACAGTCTTTTCCTGGTTACATATTTTGTGCTCAATTTATGTATGTCACTCTGTTAGGTTTTTAAGCACTCTTCTAGGTCATTTTCAATTTTTCCAATTTTATTTTACCATAATAAGTAATATGGAAGTAGTTTATTGTATATCAAAATAAGGTGATCTCATAAAAATAACTCTGTGACTCTAGAAACATTCTAACATCAGGGCCATGCTGTAACTTCTGGTGCTGTCCAGGCCTGCTTTAGAATATTTTAGAACTTTGTGTTTCTAAGAATCATATGGAACTGGATTCTCAGACCTCAATCCCATGGAGTTCCTCCAGGTCATTGAGAACTGTTACTTGACATCCAGGACAGGAAAGCTTTCCATACCACATTGTTTGGTATTTTATTTTTCTTAGTACATTAACATTCGACACCCAAGGTATTGGCTTTAAAGTGTCATCAGTTGACCATGTAATATATCCACTGATTGAAGCTCTGGTTGCTTAGTGGTAAGAAGCTATCCTGCAACCCCAAAGGCACTCAATTCAAATCTACCAGCTAGCTGTTCTGTGGAAGAAGGAGGGGTAATCTTCTTCCCTGCGATTAACTGAATCTGAAAATCCACTAGAGGGTCAAGCTATGGGTTGGTTCCAACTTGAAGGCACACAGCAACCCACTGATATGTGTTCAAATACTCATATTTAGACAATACTGTGTCACCGTCAATCCTAATATAGAACAAATCACTTACCAATTAACCACATTATATTAGTTCCATCGTGGTCCATGAAACCTAACAAATTATAAAACCTTAAGTAGTGTGTGAATTCAATTACAGGCTGTAGCTGCACAGCGAAGTATCACTTTATGCATCCAATTTATTGCACTGAGTCAATTCCAAACCACAACTACCCTGTAGGACAGAATAGCACTGTGTCAGTGGGCTTCTGAGGCAGTAAATCTTTACAGAAGCCAATTGTCACATCTTTCTCACATGTAATTAGAAGGTTTGAGCTACTGATTTTTGCATTAGTACTTAACCACTGTATCTCCAGGGCCTCCAATTTATACATAGTTATTATACTTTCTTTTCTTGACCCATATTTACCTTTTAATAACTAACGGATGGCAGTGGTAACTATTACCACCATCTAACACTGGAATGACTCAATTGTACAAAGATGAGTAAAATTCCTTTCTTTAAGACAATTTTATTTCCAATAATTACTTCTACCTTTCTGGACAGCAGAATTTGAAGACTAGCAGTTGGCACCTCATTTTAATTCTAATTAGTCACTAAGAGATTGGAACCATCTTTGGGACAAAGGACATTTCTCTGCACGTTATTTCAAGAAAACAAACTACTATGTAAGTTATGAGAGCTGAAAACAATTTTAATAGTCCCTTTCATTTATTATATTTTTCTATCTAGTGCGTGAGGCTGAACGTAAGGACCATGTGAATGTTTACCACATACTTTCTAATAGTCTCATAATATATCACTTGACAGGTAAGCACTAAAACTGACTCTTACAGAGATGTTTCTAAAAGCTCATATATGACACATCTTTTCAACTTGCTTTTCACACTTCCTTTGAAGTTTCTGACTTCTTCTTAAACAATTACTTTCTAGAACTGTGAAAACACCACAAAACTTTTAGCTAATTTGTGTTTAAATTTATTTGAAAAGTTAATTTTCTTATGAATTAACTAAATTTGCTAGGAAAAAAGATGAAATCCTGTGCACTTGCATGGGGTTGAAAATGTATGTATAAGCATGGATATGATGATATCGTGGTTCAAACTGGATTATGGTATTTATTTGCCAATTAGACTATTGGTTTTGTGGTTTTACTGATAAACACATATCCAAGTTATCCTCTAACAAAAAAAAGTAATGTATGCCATGGATATCTATCTACTTTCACTAATATAATAATTGAATTTTTTCTATTGACTGGCTGTATGAAAGAGAGAAGTTCCAAACTAGTGTACATAATTTTATACTGAAATGGCATAAAGATATTTGATTAGCATTGTTTCTCAATGGAAAACAGTACTGGTGAAAAAGACATCACATATACAACTTCCACATTCTCTAATCCATTAAATTTCAAGTAGCAAACAGAACTTCTGATAGGAATGGTCTGGTGATTGGGAGTTATTGGGCATGAAGAGAGATAATGTTTCCAGTTTTCACAACAGAAGGGACTAAATATCAAGAACTTAGTTTCACTAGGATACCAATTACTTTTCCCAAATAAGAAAAGATTTCTGAATCATCCCATGTATTGTATAAATTAATACTTATTCTACTGATATCTAATGGTTTTTTAGAGTTGGCAAGGGTAGGGGGTAGAAAAAAAATACTGACTTATTTTTACAGATTAGTTAGAAACTATCTTGAATTTTCACAGATAGCTCGCTTATGTCACAGATCTTTTATCTTGTAATTAAAGTGTTTCCTCTGTGTCACAAATCATAACAAAATAGAAGCAAACCATCAAATGCTGTGGTAAAAGGAAATTTTTAAAATCACACTGATTATTTAGTACAATGCTAAAACTAAATGCTTACTGATTTTTTTTCCTATAAAAATTATACAATAATCTAAGTAAGTCTTCAGAATAACAAATTTTTTTAAATTTTTGGCAAATATTGACAAGTGACTATGCGGTTACTCAGTCACATTATTTATACTACTGTAGAAGTCATCCACCAGATCTAACAACAACAAAACCAAGCTGACTGCTGGAGGTGGCTTCTTCCAGGTTGTTGCTAGGAAAAGTTTGAGGTGCAGCAAAAGGGTCTCAGACTTCGCTGTGGTCACTGAGTTTGCTGATATTCTGAAACAGAAGAAACAAACATGGGTAGTAAATGCACTCTTGATTTGGCTCCATAGACAGCAAAATGAACAGGAGCAATGGAAGCAAGTTACACAGACGAGAAAGTAGACTTCCTATGAGGAAGGGGAGTAGAAAGCTTTATGTTCAAGGTCAGACTGTTGACCTTGAACACGCAACTTACATACAGCTGGTGTCATTTTTCTGGGTTTCAGTGTCTTCATTACTAGAAAAGTCTAAGAAAAATTTTGACTTCATAAAGCTTTTGACAAACTAGTGACTTAATAGCAAATAAAGTCCTTAGTTTTCTAGATTATAATAAATTTTCAGTAAATATTAGATCCATAATAATAGCAATAATAGTAAAAAAAACAACGATCCTCACCACTGGGCAGATTGGCAGCATCACGATAGATGGGGAAGAGATTGAGATTGTTATCAGCATTAGTTTGCGTGGCTTCACAACCAACACTCTTGGTACCAGCAGAAAGGAAATCAAGAGGTGAATTGCATTGGGAAAGTCAGCTGTCAGGGACCTCTCCAAATTTCTGGAGAGCAACGATGTCAGTCTGGAGTCTAAGGTGTACCTGATCAAGGCCATAGTTTTTGCCATTACTTGCTATACATCAGAAAGCTGGACAATGAATGACTAAGGATGACAGAAGAATTGATGCTTTTGAGCTGTGGTACATCAGAAAGCTGGACAATGAATGACTAAGGATGACAGAAGAATTGATGCTTTTGAGCTGTGGTGCTAGAGAAGAGTATGGACTGCTAGAACAGATTGTTTCTAGACAGGGTGAAACCAGGTGCTCCTTGGAGACAAGGATTCTGAAGCTTTGTCTGATATAATTTGGGCATGTTGCCAGGAGGGACCAGTTCTTGGAGAAGAGCATCATGTGTGCTTAGAAAGGTGGAGGAACAACACAGAAGAGAAAGGCCCTGGATGAGATGGATCAACACTGACGGAGGTAATAGCGGAAGGTGTGTCAAGAGACACATAGGGTCGCTATGAGGCAGCACATTACAACAACAACAATGCTTTTATTATTATTATTCTGTAAACACACATTGTTCTGATTTAGTATAATAGGAAGGTTCTGGGATGCACCAAATGTTCTAGGGATGAGGAAAGGCAAAATGATTCAAAAGTCAAAGAAAAATTGTATGAAATCAAATATCTGTGAACAGTTCTGAAATTAAAGCCCAATACTTAGAAAAGAACATTGACACTTCAGATCATGTGAGTGCTCTGCTCTGCAAATGTTTCCAACAATGTCAATATGAGCCTAGAGGCAAAGCTATGAAGTAGTTGAAAACAAAACAAAAAACCAAACAAGACCTAAGTAAACCTAGAGACTTTTCATTTGAAAGAGATAGACTAACACTATTCAACAAAACAGACCCCAAAGATGCATTATTGTTTGCACTGCTAGCCAATCACCAAATCTAAGCAAAGATACTGTTAGATGATCCAAATTTTTAAGCAAATGCTTACCCTCTATCCCCTCAAAAAAGAATGAGCATATTTTACCACTTGAAACAAAAGTTTCTGAAGTGAGTAATTTTTTAACAAAATGTAAAGAACAAGGAAAAAAAAAAAAAAAAAAAAAAACCCCAGTTATGTCTCAGTTTAGAAAATCCAATTCTGAGTCATAGTGACCCTCTGTCAGATTTCCAAGCCAAGACTGCCTATCTTTTTCCTTGGTGTAGATGGTGGATTTGAATTGGTGATCTTTTGATTAACAGCACAACACATTACACAATATACTACTACAACGCCTAATGTGGTGATGAGGTAATTTAAAAAAAAAATGGCAAAGATTTTTTAATTTACCATTCTGATGCTTTCTTGTAAGATTTATGTGCTAACTTGTTTTACTCACCTTACTTGAATGTATTGTACTTATTGCAGCAGATACTGATTCAAAAAATATGGGTTTCTCTAGGTCTAGATTTCCACAGTACTGCATTGCTTTTACCAAGGAAGCTACAACAGAGCACAGGTGATTAGGATATATGAAGCAGTGGAATGTCGTATTCAACGTTAGCCAAGGATGCTCTCTTACCTGTGCAATTGGCTAATGCTACATCCACACTCCTATTCTTACAGTCCATGTAGACCTGGAGGGATTGAAATTTTATAACCACAATTAATTCAGGATGTTGATTTTCAGAAAAAATTTTGACAATTTCTGGTAAGAAAGCAAGCCAATGTTTATGAAATCAGACCACCAGAGGGAAGCATTGTTACACAGTTAGGAATGAACCTGGCAACTTAAGAGACACTCAATTACATAAAACTGAGATTCACACGGGAACCTTTACTGCAACTAGATTTGTGTGTTTACATCCTCTGCTTCATTTAATAAAAATAATGACTCACAGTTCCTTCCCTGTAAGAAAAATTGTCTCAACTTTCTTTTATTAGAAAGCAAGGATCTGTCTAGGAAAATGAAAGCTTCAGACCTACTTCTCATATTAATATATTACATTAATTTCAGTAGATTCATGGATGTGTTAGATGGTTGGTAAATTGAAGACTCATTATAATCCAAGTCAAATGTAACTGTTCAACTTTCATTTTAAAAGTTCAATCAAGATACGAGATCTTAACAAATTTGCTTGAACATTGTACCCTTTACTTTTTTAAGCCATAAAAATACCTCATGTAGGAAAAAACTATTAATAGCTTCAGTCTTAAATTAATCCAGACAAAAGTCAGTTTGCGGAATTAACTGAAAGTAAATCTAGACTTTTACTAACAGTGTGATAGATGTAATGTAAGGAAGGATATATCTTAAATATAAGTGTAAAAAAACGGCATCTGTCACATATTCTAAATGTGTTCAAAAGAGATTAAAAACACTTCTTTCATATCATTCCACTAGTTCCCTCTATAGGTGGAGAAATATGAAATAATGAGAGCCGTACCACTGTAACCATGCATCAACAGAGAGGTGAGTAGGTAGTAGGTGTGTATATGGAAGTAGGTAGACTGAGAAGTATATATATGTGTATATATAAATAGAAATAAAGACATATCTTTACTAAGGAAAAGACTCTTGTTTCTATAAGTTAAAATGATCAATTCAAGGTGACCCATCAGTGTTTGACTTTTTTTTTAAGCTCCGTGAAGCACAAACACATTGCTGCGGGTGGTTTGCTGATAAACGTAATCTCCAATTCAGTGACCTCTCAGCGTGCCAAGTACAAGAATAAATAGAGGTCACTCTACTTCCTTCAACTTACAACTCTCAGGAGAAGGTTCTTTTAACTAAAACCACTGAGAAAACAATCTAAAAGGAGTGTGGTAGTAAAAGGAGTGTGGTAGAAAGCAGGAATATATGTGTGGCTAAAGAAATTCTTTCGCTTTTACTTTGGAACCTCTTTAAGGCTGGCCAGAACTAAGAAGATTTCTCAACTGTAGTGATAGTAATTGCATTTTAAGACATTATTGCTGTGAGTTAAGAATAATAGCACCTAGTATTATTGAATCCTAATTTCTGGACACTTTATTGTGTGCTCTGTATATAATGTTATAATTTCTGAGCCAAATAATAAATTGGTAAAAATGACTATTTCTACTTAAAGGTTAGAGGAAAGAAAACAAATATTTTGGTCAAGATCAAAGAAGTGATATTTGGACCCAAGGTTTGTCTGTTGCTAATGCCTTAATTAATTAATATATGATATTATTGTAAAGTTGATTCTAACTCATACTGACACTATATGACAGCCTAGAACTGTTCTTCCAGAAGCAGATTACCAATGCTTACTCCTGCAAAGCCATTGGATGGTTTGACTTGCCAATCTTACATTTAGCCATCAAACACTTAACCATTGTACTACCAGGTTATTTATTGTAAACACAGTGAAACAAACCAAGCAGTAATCAATAATTAAAGGTACAAACTAATATAAAACTGTTCGATTTACACAGATAAGTGAAAAATACTGCTTAAATAATATCATTTTCTAGAAAATGAAAAACAAACCCTATCAATTTATTTATACCATCTCTACTGGCATAGATCATTATATAGAATCTAAAAACTACCTGTAATTATTCTTGCTGTTCTTGTTGTTGTTGATTGTTGTTGAGTCGAGCACGAGTCATAGCGACCCTATGAACAAAAGGCCTGAAGCCTTTCTGTAACTATTGACATTTATCAAGGTTCATAGAGTTTCCAGAGGCATGTTGTTTAGGAAGTGGATGTCACTCCTGCTGTGCCATCAAATCAGAACTGGCTCATAGCTAACCCTTCAGAAGCCACAGTTTGCATGGGGAAAGATTACACATCTTTCTCCCATACAGCTGGTGGATTTGAACTGAACACCTTTGGTTTAGAAGTACAGCTATTTATACCCTTAAGCCATAAAGTCCTTTCTCAGTATGTTTATACATAGATTAATGAACTTTTCTGAATTGGAGGACAAGTTCTCTGGCATGATAAAATTATTTTACTAACCCTAATCCCCCTATTTTCTTCTTCTGGCATCCTTACTCACTACCATTCTCTCAAATGTGGAAAGCAATGTATTTTAATTTTTCAAATAAACTAGTATAAAAATAATGTAAAATAGAATGAATATGCATGATTGTGTGAAACACAATGTAAATGAAAGACTGTATAAAACACAATGAATATGTGTGGAAAAAATTCATAGCCAGTGATTAGACCATGGACAGAATCAGTCACATCTTAATCTTTAAACTGACATCATTGCTTCTCAGTAATTTGGAGAGGTCCCTGACAACAGACTTTTCCAATGCAATATGTTACCTGATCTCCTGGCTGCTTGTACTAAGAGTGTTGATTATGGATCTGAGTAAGATGAATTCATTGAGAGTTTCAATTTTTCCTCTCTATCATGATGTTGCCTATTGGCCCAATGGTGAAGGTTTTCAGAAAACATTATATGTTGACATTATCCTTTTTTAAGTTAAATTAAAGAATTGCAGGTATATGAAAGGGGAAAGAGTACCAATCACATTCTATTCCA